TGCCACTTTATTTAACAGTCTTTGGTGCGGAACTCTATCAAAAGCCTTACTAAAATCTAAGTAAATAATATCAAATTCTTCATCGTGATCAACAGCCTCAAAAGCTTTACTGAAGAAAGTTAATAAATTAGTTAGACAAGAACGGCCTCTCGTGAATCCATGCTGAGTATCATTAATCAAGCTATGCTTATCGAGATGGCTTCTTATAATCTCAGCTATAATTGACTCTAGTAATTTGCCTACAATTGAGGTCAGGCTTATTGGGCGGTAATTTGACGGTAACGACTTGTCCCCTGTTTTAAAAATAGGAATTACAATAGACATCTTCCACATATCAGACACTACACCTGTATGAGGAGATAAATTAAAAATATTAGTTAATTGTTCACAGAGTTCCATTTTGCATTCCTTAAGAACCCTTGAAAAAAGCTCATTAGGACCCCTCGACTTATTTTGCTTCAGTCGGTCTATTTGTTTCATAACCATTTCACTAGTGACTGTGATGTATTGTTAGTGTCTTCCTGTGTAAAAACCGAGAGAAAATTATTTAAAATCGAAAACATTTCATTCTTTGTCAGTAAGATGCTCATAGACACATGTGCAACATCTGGATATCTTTATTGTAGACTTTTCGCTATCCAATGGCTTTATCAATACAAATTCCAGGACATAACTTGAAGATAGTAGAACTATGTACAGAAGATGAGGTAATCAGTCCCTCAATCTAGGAGTAGGTGCGAAGAGCACCGTAGTCCTAGGTTGAGGGACTGATTACCTCATCTTCTGTACATAGTTTTACTATCAAGTTATGTCCTGGAATTTGTATTGATAAAGCCACTGGATGGCGAAACGTCTACAATAAAGATATCCAGATGTTGCACATGTCTTAATTTCATCTTGTCGGTATTGTATACCATTCTTGTACAACAAGATGCCCATAGTTATTTTTAAGGGGACCTATCTTGTCTAACTTTTGTTCTATACACCTGGAAAAAACTTTTCGGGTTAGTTTTCGAATCCCTAGCAACTTTAATTTCAGTCTCTCTTAGCTTTTCTTATCCCCTTTTTAACGTCCCTCTTAATCTCAGTATACTGATTCATAAGATGACCCTCACCTCTTTTGATACGCCTATAAATTCCTTTCTTATTCCCTAGTAGATATTTCAGCCTATTATTCATCCATTTTGGGTCATTTCTATTTGATCTAATTTCTTTATATGGGATAAACGTTCTTTGAGCAGCATGTATGGTGTTCAGAAAATTGTCATATTGATAGCTCTCTTCGTTACCCCAGTCAACAGATAAGTGTTCTCTAAGCCCATTGTAATCTGCTAAGCGAAAATCTGGAACCGTTACTGAGTTGTCCCTATCATCATACTTCCATTCTATGCTAAAGGTAATTGATTTGTGATCGCTTGTGCCGAGTTCCTCATTAATTTCTAAATTATTAACAAGGGTTTCCTTGTTCGCCAGAACCAAATCAAGGTTATTTCCCCTTGTAGGTTGTGTCACAAACTGCTTCAAAAAACATTCCTGAACTACTTCTAAGAAGTCATTTGATTCTAAATTCCCAGTCAAGAAATTCCAATCAATGTGACTAAAGTTAGTCCCCTAGAATTACATTATCGTGCCTTGTGGCCTTAACAATTTCCTCCCACAGTAATTTCCCTTGGTCCCTATCTAAGTTTGGGGGACGGTATATCACTCCTAGAATCAATTTTTTATGCCCCTCTGAAAATTCTATCCAGACACTCTGTATGTGTTACCTCAGACTTAATACCCGTTTTTATGCAACAGTTCAAGCGATCTCGGACATACAGTGCCACCCCACCTCCCTTACCGATATTTCTATCTACTTGGAACAATTTAAAACCCTGAATGTGACATTCCGAAGGCATGTCCCGACTTTTGGAATTAAACCATGTCTCAGTGATTGCAAACACATCGATGTTACCTGCACTAGCAATTAATCTCAACTCATCCATCTTATTCCTAGCACTACGGCTATTAGCGTAATATAATTTTAAAGACCCTCCTTTCTCTTTACCCTTCCTACTCATATCTGTTTTTTCACTAAACCTATTACTGCCCTTGTTGCCTAGTGCCATTGGCTTCCCAATATCCACCTCATTCTTCCTATTACTAGTTCCCCTAGAACTCATAGTATTACTAAACTGGGACTTCACTGTATTCTCGCCAAAACCCATACCACTATCTATTCCTAGTTTAAAGCCCTAACAGCTCCCTCCACTGCAGTTGCCAGTGCCCCCACCCGAGACCTAGATAAGTGAAACCTATCCCTGGCATACATGTCATTTCTGCCATAGAGGTCCCAGTTGTCAGTGAATGTTACCGTATTTTCCTTAGTGTTTGTCCATCCAGCAATTGACACCAATTGCCCTGGACAACCATTCATTTCCAACTCCTCTCCTTGGCAAAATACCACATATGACAGGGTTCCCACCCTTCTTTCTAATTATCTCTATTGCTGACCTATACCTGCTAATCAGGTCCTCACTCCTACGTCTGCCAACATCGTTGCCTCCCGCACTGAGGCAGATAATAGGATTGCTCCCATTACCTTTCATGAGGTCGTTCAGACGGCTAACAATATCCCCCATCCCAGCCCCAGGAAAACATACCCTGTGCCTCCTCTTCCTGTCCCTAAGACAAAAGGCCCTATCCATAAACTTAACCTGACTGTCTCCAACTAAAACAATGTTCTTACCTTCATTCGTGGAATTTGTCGTGACGTTCTTGGTCTTCGTTGGGGTACCAAGGGATGTCTCACTCGTTTGTCAATGCTCCCTTGGTGCTCGTTGTGACGTTCCCAGTAGACAACCCACATTCGTCTGGTAGAACCGGATTACGGTGTTGTACACAGGCATTCCTTGGATCGTCAGACCTGCTTGCGTATTGGTGTTCTGAAATACGTGTTTGGAGGTCTCTTGATGTTTCGCCCACGTATAATTTGCTGCAGTCATTACAAGGGATTATGTATACCCCTGCAGAGGATGGAAGCTTGTCCTGTCTATTACTGGTAATGCCCTTGATGACCGTGGCTGTGGAGGTAGATACTGGAATGAGGTATTGGAAAAGATGTTGGAAACGTGTTTGGCAATGGAGTCGGTGGGGAGGACTATGCATCTTTTCTCGGCAGTGTCTTCTCTGGGTGTGTTGAAGATGTTTAATGCCCGTCGTCTGCAGTCTTTGATGAAGTGACGAGGATAGTGAAGTTTGGGAAATAGTTATTCAATTATAGTGCAATCTTCCTCATTGCTGTAGATTCTGAGTGCGCCCAGGAAAATGTCTATAATTACACCGTTTAGTTTTAGTGTCGTGGTGAGAGTAGAAGTGGAGAAGATCGTTTTGGTTGGTGGGTTTTCGATAGACATTAAAACGAAGTTCATGGTCAATTTTGAAGAGAAGAACATCAAGGAAAGGAAGTGTGTTGTCGACTTCAAGTGTGAACTGGATTGAGGGCTCGACCCGTGTGGGCGAAACGTTGTCAATAAAGGATCACATTATATTGCGTGTGTGTTTATATTTCCATTGTTTCGGCATTTTATACCATTTATTTCCATACCCAAGAGTTGCACATGTCTAATTTATCAAAACTAAATCTGTTAGACCACGTCAGATATTATGATCGTTAAGGACAAATTTAAGTTATTGTGGAACTGAAATTTTTAACACTAGTGTAAAGTACAAAACTTACTACCTATGAAGCGATAGAGGATTGTATGGGGTTTTAGCCATTTCGAAAAATCTTGTGGAATACAGGCAAAAAATTTAAACCATTTGCGCGGAAAATAACGGTAGGGCTATAGTTCTCAATCTGCAATGTGATGTTAGTCCTTACGAGAGTTGGAGGCACGACTTCGTACAGCAAGTATACGGAGCTTTTTAAATAAGCATATTGGGTCCAAGACTTTCAAATACAAGACAAATTACAGACTCCTAACTGTCTTCAAGAGGAAACTACACACATTCTTCTTAGGTAATTAGCAGTCAATTTGACTGTTATATTTAGGTCGTAATGCGGTGCACGTTAGGTGACCCGATTATCAATCAGGAAGCTTGGTTGGAGACCGACCCGCGGGAGTGACGAGTCCCGAATGCATCAATAGGTAAACAGGAGCCCCTCACGTGTACATAACCTCTTTAATATTTGTGTTTGAAGTTGAAGGTATAGGCTGGGTTGGAGGGGGTGGTGGGTGCACACAGGTGTGCTCTGCGATAAGTGCTACATAAATGTCACTACATAACCATCCCTCTAACTCTGTTGGTTTATTCATCAGAGCCAACAACACATGATGCGTGTCGTATGGCTGGGGAAGAAGGGGAGAGGGAACCGGCAAAAAACGATGGTGCCGAAGGACACGAGTAAACGTTTCTGCATTTCCTTTTCTGAATGTCTACTAATTATCTAACACAGACTTCACTAAACTATCGGTGCCTAGTTCTTATCCTCGGCACGTTCCTCTTACCCAGGTACTGGTTGAACGTGCATTTCTCGTAAATCCTACTAAGGCATTCACCCTGCCGTAATTACTGGAGGTGTAGCCATAAAAGGTAGTGGTTAGACTAGTTAATGCAGAAATTGCCGAATCACCTAATTTGTGAGGACTTCGTAGGCTGAAGAGGCTGGGCAGCAGCAGCTTGATTGATTAGGCTTCCAGTAGGAAAGCCTGGCCCGAGGCTTGGCTGTGAAAGTAGAACAACTCCGGTCTAGTCACAGGTATGACTTGTTCATGCAACATGACGCCTGGTAGGCTATCTTTATGACGGGAACACTGAAACAAGTTTACGTAGTAACACTCCTCCAGTAACTGGTTGTTCTACCTGATGTAACTGTACACTTTTTATTCACTTGTTTATGCTTAATGTAAGAATATATCTGCACTACCACGAGCAATCTTATAATATAACTACCCTGTCAATTTTCTATAACATATATAGATGAATAACAGTAATCAATATTTTTTTTTATTTTACAGGTGAGTGTTGATAAAATAGTGCTTGCCGAGGATGCAGTCTAACTGGTAAAGTAGCGTTGATTTGGTCTACCTTTTATGTTCTTCAGTCAGCTCTGAACTAGACTGTCTTAAAATTTTCGTGTACAACGTGAGGTAATCCCGTGATGTCAAATAGAATTTCCAGATCTTGTTCAGGAACATTGGTGGTATAATTTATTACCTTTACGTCACTGTACCACCTTGGTGTTACTGTCATCGTTTAGCACTCTGCTTTACCAGAGAACTGCCGAAGGAACAGTTATTTAAGAGATAGGATAAAAAAAAAAGGCACGCAAAAGCTATATTCAGTTTTCTAGTATTGGCCTACTTAAAAGATGACAGTTGAACGAAAGAATCAGTCTCATTCTCCTGTCCTCTTTTGCCTCTTCCCTGCAAATTGTGTATATGATATTGACATCCCATAAACTGGAAATGAAGTTGCAGCATGTCCAGGCACTCTTTGTCGAGGCTGGATTCCTGGAGCTCCATATGTATAAAATTACCTCAGTCTTCCACTCTTCAGTATTATAATCTATTAAATAGTGCTCATTGCTGGTGTCTTGAGCTTGTACCCGTGTAGCCAACACTTCAAGGCTGTTGACAGGGCAGTGGAGTAGCGACTAATTTATTAGCTGGGTTAGGTTATGGTAAACAAAAAGCGTATATTTGACCATATATGAGGAAATATATCTAAACGGCTGTGACACGTCTAGCAACGTGGGTTCGGTAGCATTTTACGTTTGGGCAACCCGCTGCCGGCCCAGTAATATCGGCCTTTAATGTTAATAATGAACTTTGATTTAGCTGAGATCCCAGAGGCCCTAAAACTACAGTACAATAGCTCCACTTGACAAAGGCGCAGCAGAATAATGTCAAAAATAAAGGCCAAACCTTAATCCAGTAAATTCTAACAGTCTTGTGGTAAGGTGAGAGTTTCACAACAGTCTCGCAACTATAAATAATGTCACAAAAATTCCGGATTCGAAAAAACTTAAATACATATAAACGTATTTTCCGAAGTTGTTAGTTGTAACCGTAGTGACAGGTCATAAAATTAGGTAAAGAGAAGAAACTGATGAAGTAGGGAATTAATTTTCACATTTCTTGCAGACTATTTAGAGTGGCAGTATATCATTGTCCAAGCTGATGATGACACTACTTAGCTCAGTCGTGCAAGGCAATGCCTCTACTATCTCAGAGGCAAACTTAAGATAAAAGACGCAAATTCGTTAAAAAATATACCGTAATGTAAATGAAGACTCGAGAGAATGTACAAACTAATGGCATGAAGTGATTCAGGAGTATAGAAAGTGTTTTTACTTTATGGAAGGATCTATTGGGATTATTTGATGCGTTCTTAAACCGCTCAATAATTGGGTCTTACTATCAACATTGAAGTTCAGTGGGAAGCAGTCAATGGTATGTGTGCTTGAGTGAAGGTTGCAAGGAGAGATCACCTGAATATACTCTTCGCATCCGTTGGTACAGCTCCTGTGGCTGCCTTAACCACAACAACCACGCAGTAATTGCTTAATTCCGCTCTGGGCTCACGTTGCTGCTTTACTAGCATACTCCTGCTGCTTTACTACTAGCATACTCCTGCTTTACTACTAGCATACTCCTGCTTTACTACTAGCATACTCCTGCTGCTTTACTACTAGCATACTCCTGCTGCTTTACTACTAGCATACTCCTGCTGCTTTACTACTAGCATACTCCTGCTGCTTTACTACTAGCATACTCCTGCTGCTTTACTACTAGCATACTCCTGCTGCTTTACTAGCATATTCCTGCTGCTGCTGCTGTTGCTAACTTGTCCAGTCAGTAGCTGGAGACCCTTGTGTAACCAACACATCTTCAAACACTGCTGTTATAATTAAGATACAGCCTTTCTTGTTTTATTTATAATAAAATCTTAATGTTAGCATATGCTATAATATTATTAATTTGAAAGTGATCATAGAAAATAAATTTAGAGAGGAAAACGATGATGGTGATAACCAACCACCTCCCATTGGGGTTTATGCGTGCACGTGCTGATGCTAGGAAGCTGCCTTATGTACACACCTTGGGTGTCAGTGTGTCATGTCTTGTCATGCTTTGTCCATTTTCTTATTGTGTTGCTTTATCAAGTCCTGTCGTGCCTTCGTGTCTTATCTTCTGTTACCGTTGTTAGTATATCATGTTCTCTGTGGAACTCTGCAACATAGCACTCTTGTTCCTGCTGCCCTCAGCCACATCTTACATTTATTTAGCCATGCTAGAAAATACTCTTACTTTGCAGTGCATTTTTCAGTCTGCCTTTCTCGTAACCTATACCGGCACCGGCTGGTTCATGACCCCCCAAGTGAGAGGCATTGTATAAACCTTACATCTGAGGCTGTAGTTTGGATGCCTCACAAGGGCGCCCCCCTGGAGGAGTTTGCTGGAGAATGTGTTGACAAATAGATGGATTTATTAGATGCTCGCTCTGGTTTTGTTTTGCTGCTGTCACAAGTTGCTCTTATTATATCTCTTAACGTCTCTAAGAGGGAATTGAAGGTTAATGTAAAATTATTGCCTTGTATTAAAATCATAAATTAAAGTATCTTTATTTGTCCTTTCTATGTATTCTCGTGTATGTACTTGTTTTCCAGGTGATTTCTAATACTAAAAGCCAGCTCAGTTCCTGTGGTTATAAAGCAGTGAAATACGATGTAAATGTTATGCTTATTTGTTGGAGTAATTAACCTCTGAGGTTGAGTCACCCCCGCCTTCAAACCGTCTTACTCCATTTGCTGGAAACACAAGTGGAGATCTGGCGTGGCGAGGCTCACCGTTATCTCAGTGAAAGTGAGGGTAACTGAGTGGGGTTAACAAAGTTCTGGGATGTTGGGCGGCAGATATTACCCACAAGTATAGTAGAAAGACATTTTTAATAGAACATACATTTGTTATCAGCTACGTTTCGTCCTTAAATACTCTAACAAGCGAAACTTCGTCTATAATAAAGGTTTGATCTGCACTATCTTAATGCCATGGTCATGGTACAGCAGCGTGGCTCACAATGGTTGTCGTGCTCTCTGCATCTACCGCTTTTGCTGCTTAAGACACGGAAATACCGGTATGGACATGCTTATCGTCCACACGTCCAAACAAGTTTTTTTTTCCTTGAATGGTAGATGCCAAGAACTGGAGTAGACTGAGCTGGATGTTTTTAACTAGAGATCCCCTCAAGGAAGGTTCCTTGATGCTGGTGAGGGGCTCTTGATCTAGGGAATTGGATCTGTGCTCCAGTTCCCTGAATTGAGCCTGAATACCTTTCATTATCCCCCCCCCCCAGGTGCTGTTTAATCTCGCAGGGATTATACAGCACCTTTGTTCCACCTTTAGCAGCATAATGCTGCTAAATGTGGAACACATTTTAACTTGTCGCCGAGGCAGTCATAGTTTTCATAATTCCCGGACTTATCCATAAGGACCAAGAGGAATTTTTAGGATTTTTTTAACATTAACGTTTTGATGTTTATAGCATGCGGGTTAATTAACTTAATGTGATAGTATTTATATTTTGTTGGGTGCTTGCTGATTTGAATTATTTTAATTTTTGACTTAGACCTGACAAGTTCTAATGTGTATGGTTTAACGTTTTGTCAAGTGTTTAAAAACCTTGTAGATTAAAGCGCTGTGCAAATCTTATTAACTCCTTTTCTAGTTAGCCCAAACAGTGGAGAGTCAAGATTAGGTTAGGCAAGTTTCGTTGTGGAACAGCACATGTGTTTTCTGACGTGTCTAGTGATAAGATGAACAATCTTTGGAGTTTTTGGTAAACAGACTGAGGCCTTCGGCTAGCTTACCGGTCCATCCCTTTTACTAATTATTTATATACATGACTATCAAGACCTCAGTACCCAGGGGTAGAAGTCAGTTGGTCACTGGAGAGGGGTTGCATTATGTACACCAAACGAACACTCATTAATTTCCTCGTTTCCTACACCTTTCCCTTGTCTTCTTGTGCCCTTCTCTTTTACCCCCTCTCCGCTCCCCTCCCCTACCCATCCCTTCATAAAATTTAACTAAATTTAATTTTTCTTCTGTCAGTATCTACTATTGTTCTTGCTTGAGTTTCTCCCACTTCTCATTATTACCTCTTGCATTGTTGCGAGGGGGTTGACCCAGCGTGGCTGGAGTGTAAAGTCAGAGGCTATTTGCAATGTACTCATAAAGCAACTCGTTTCTTGCCACTTGTAAATATACCTTAGAATTTGCCCCCTTGCCCTCTACCCCCAGTCTCCCTCTCTTCCTTTTCCCTTCCGCATGACTGGTCCGACCGGACTTGGTTGAGGGCCTGTACAGTCACGCTGTTGCTGTTTGTGACACGCAGTCCTGTGTAGATACCACAACATGCCTCATCCGGAAGTTTCCTGGCACATGTCAAATTCTTTCTGAAGGTAGTTATGGGTTTCTATTCAAGACGATATTTGAAGGCAGTGTGTCGAAGTCTCTTTGATCCCTTTGCTTATAAAGTCATTTCGTAGTGTAGTTATTACTTTTCTGCTGTTCATTAGGAGTATCTTAGACTATATTCTATGCATCACGCTCTCATAAGTGGGGTTACTTCACTGCAGATTAGAAACCATCCCTTCATTATATTTCAAACTAAAATTATAGTTTTTTTTTTCACCTTTCTCTAAAGTACAGATGTGGAGGGATTTTGTTCCTAGTAATTAAGATGCTTAAATAGATTGTTAGTGAAAGCTACCTTCATATTTTCCAGATCCGCATTTTCGTCTGCCTTAAGTGCGACTAAGTAGACTTCAACTGGATTCCATTTTGGAAAGTAAAAATGCCTTAAAAGATTATCATTGGCTTGGTATAATTTTGTCTTAAATAATCTTTTTATCCAGCCAATCATTTTCTGTACAATTGTAATAACAACGCTATTGTGTTCCTTGAACGTAAACTCTTTAGACATTGTTGCTCCATGTTTGGCGGATTATTGTGTTCAGAACGAAATTATGGCAAGTCTGTGCCTTTAGAACCAGCGCCTTCCAGTCATAGCACCAAAGCACTAAGAATCAGTCATAACGGCTCTTATACCTACTTTGATATGCCTTTAATGGGTTTAGTTTTATACTTCCGCAGCCCGGCCCTGGGCTAGGCTCGTCTGGTGCTCACCTGGTCTATCAGATTCCATCACAGCCTTTTTTATCTGGCACTTTTGGAGGAAATTGTTCCGCTTTTCCTTGAAGACTTCTTCGCTTATTCCGGCAGTTTCCGATATGTTCTGGTAAAATGTTAGTCTGGGACCACGGATGTTGATACAGTGGTCTCTTATTGTGCCCACTGCACCTCTTTCACTGGATTTATTATACACACACCAATATTTCCCTTCAGTATGTTATAGCATTGTGCAGATTTGGGAATAGGTCTTCAAGCCCAGTGAGTAAGTATTTGGAACTTTTAGGCGTTCCTAGTAATTTTAATGCTTTATTGGCTTATGAGGGCCGCAAATTATTTTTTTTAATGTTTCCGCTCTGATTCTCTCTCTCTCTCTCTCTCTCTCTCTCTCTCTCTCTCTCTCTCTCTCTCTCTCTCTCTCTGTCTGTCTGTCTGTCTGTCTGTCTGTCTGTCTTTTTTTTTTTTTTTTTTACACAGGGTTTGACAAGGTTAAGGATCCCTAGCATTATTGACAAGCTATTTACAGGTTAAGGATTCCTAACTTTATTGGCAAGCTAAGAGCTGTTACCTACATCAGCTCATTTGAAAGCATTTTTATTATGAGACATACAATTAGGGAATAGGATGAAGTTGGAGCCATCTGTGGGCCAGCATTTTCATTTGATCGACTGACTTTATCTCGTTGACATCATTATGCTGTACGAATGTGTTCCATACTCGAGTCATACTGGGTATGTATGATCTCAGATGGAGTGATGTCCTGGAGAAGGGTACAGTCAGAGTGAAGTTGCTGCTTTCTGCCCGTCTTGTGGCATAAAAGCTTGTTTCACGCTGTCCTCGAAGTGGATCCAAGTGTGGTATTTTGACAATATTGGCCTTGTACATAACAGTAAGGCCACCCACATCCCTCCTATGTTGAAGGCTCTGCTGAAATGACAGATCTATCCAGGATGGGTCCAGGCGAGAGATGAGACGTCTTGCTCTGTTCTCTACTCTGTCAAGCAGTCGCAGATGAGAGGGGGGGCAGGCAAGCCAAGAAAGTGGAGCATACTCAAGGTGTGAGCGTACTTGTGCCTCGTACAGGATCTTGCAACCCCTACTGTCAAGAAGATGCGAGATACGGCGAAGTGCTGTAAGCTTCCTGGCTGCCTTGTTTGCAAGATTTACAACATGGTTCTTCATGGTTAGTTTGGAGTCAAATTTCACCCCAAGGATATCAACTTCTCCAGGTGCCAACACCCTCCCATTCATCCTTACTACTGCACCAGCATTACCATCATGGTGCCTAGAGACGATCATTTGCGTTTTCTCAGGTGCAAATGTTACTTGCCATCTATTTCCCCAAGCTGATTTAGCTCTCAGCTGGTGATTGATGTAGCTTAGAGCAGCTGGCATTTCTTCTCTTGGATAAGTGAATGTCAGTGTACAGTCGTCTGCATATGCATGTGATTCTTTGATGAGAGGAAGGTCGTTGAAGTAGACATTCCATAACAATGAACCCAGCACGCTTCCTTGTGGAACACTTGCCCCAATAGGATGTCTTGCTGATTCCGTTCCATTGAGAACTACACTTAGAGATCTACCATGAAGGTAATCACTGAGGAGACATAGCGTAGAGCCTGCAATTCCCAGTGCTTGAAGTTTTGCTAAGAGGCCCTGGTGCCACACCCGGTCGAAAGCGCCAGCAATGTCCAGT